GCACCTCCACACACACCCCACACCCAGCCCTCTGCCCTGAATCCCCCCCACACCCAGACTTCTGCCCTGCACCTCCATACACACACCAGTCCTCTGCCCTGAACCCACCCACACACCCAGCCTTCTGCCCTGCACCCCCCAGCCCTCTGCCCTGAATCCCCCCCACACCCAGACTTCTGCCCTGCACCTCCATACACACACCAGTCCTCTGCCCTGAACCCACCCACACACCCAGCCTTCTGCCCTGCACCCCCCAGCCTTCTGCCCTGACCCCTGAACCCCCCCCCTCCAGGTCTGGGGTCCCAGCTGCCAGCCAGCGTCTGGCACTTCTGAAAGGCTGCCTATCCCTGGTTTAGATAATTGGGTTTTTATAGAAGGATGCTAATTTTTATTTTGTGCCAGCACATGCTTATAGATTTATTTACTTCAGCTTAACAGACACTATAGCAATATACAAATATATTATAAAATATATACAAAATTTTCACTGGATTAACATGTTTAAAAAAATTTCCCCAACCCATCCCAAAGTTCTCTTTCAGTTCACCCAATATCACAAAACATCTCCATCCACCACAGATAAGATCCTCTCCCTTCAATCCACCCACACGCATATACTGATCGACCCTCTCCTTCAAAGAAAGCATGTGGGAACAGAGGTCTTGCTGTGTGGCCTGTGGATCAATAAATCCAGGCCCCGTCTTTGTAAGTTAGTCTTAGACATTAAATAGAAACAAAGTAATATGCTCATGGCTTCAAACTAGGCCAACATTGTAACTGACCTTTCTATAAGTAATAAGATATATTCATCCACAGAAAAAATGATAGAGAAAATGTGTTACAAAGCATCCTGAGGCTGGGCTCTCACAACCACGATACTCAAGTCAATGGGGGCATTCCACAACCATAAGAAAGCCCTCAGCATTTACTTCAGACATTTGAGCCCATTGCATTTATGGCAACATTTGTGATCATACCAAAAAGTATTTTATTACTGGAGGGATTAAGAAAAAAACAAAAAACAAACAAAAAAAAAACTAACACCACAATATTGGATGAAAGAAGTAAAATACTCTTTTCTTCGCAAATGTTGTGGCTCTTCCTTCTACCTTATTAGGCCAGATAGCAACAATGACTAATTTACCTCATCTTAGGCTGCTACTAATTCTGAAGTTTGTTCCAAACACGTATGTCTAATCAATTTGTTCACATTTGTTTTTCTGTGCAACTGTTAACTTCTTATTTGCCAAATAGTCTTCCTGCCTCTGCACCTTTGCCCTTAGAGATTCTGCAATGCGGCTACAGAATTTCTAATTGCAAATTCATATCTGTACTGGTAAGTGAACCAGAGTGTGATCATAATATCACTCAGTTCAGAAAGGGTGGTCTAATTTCCTCACAAATTAACTGCTTCAAAGAACAATTACTACATGACAGTCTTGTCAAAATCATGCAACTGAACACTTTGTTTTGTAATTACAGATAACCCTGTAACAAAGGCATCTGCTGCCCTCTCCTGGAACAAAGATTGCTACGCTGCAGTAAATCAACGAAAATGGCTGGGTTATTACCCAGTCTCTTGGGAATGCATACAATAAAACTGCTGGAACACTTGATAATGCAGACTTTCCTTCAATATGCCAACTACAGAAGTAGAAATAAAACTACATTTTAAAATACACAGTTTTCAAAATGAGAGTGCTGTGGTTGGTGTCTGAATAAGATAAGCTTTTAGTCCTACTCCCTACAAGAAAAAAAAAAAAGAACAGAAAACAAAACAGAATGTAGGTATTATTATGCTTCCTACTGTGACTCCCTGTTTATGTTACAACAATATTTCATCACACGCTGTTCCCATTTTACACTATGACCATATAACACACTGCTCTGGCATAAACTCTTTACACATTCCATCCCACACAGTCGCCTGCCCTAAGGAATGAAACTACTTACAAACATTAACGGGGGAGTGAAAGGGAGATATCTCAGTGCATTCATAACACATACAAAGCAAGTGCTCTTATAATACTACTGTCATAAAAGTATGTAAATGGAATAAAGAAATCTTGTATTTTTACATTTTCCTTCAAAGGGCAAGAAAATACAACCAAATAGCATTTGAAAAAAAAAAACCAAACAAATGAATTTTAAAGTTTGAATAAGTCCATCTACTGTACCATAAAAGTGGTCTCTCTAGAAATACCATTTTCACAGTAATTTTAAAAAGCCATACAATTTCATCTGGAACTTGACATTTTATGGGTGATACACAGCTTTCTCAAAGTGAAAAAATTTCCCTGTATGCTCTACAAACTAGCAATTATATTAAAAGCAGCCCATCTTACTAATCTTTACAAAGGCAACTGAAGACTATTGCAGAACTACGAACTGATACACCACTGAGGTCCTTTCAGTTTTTGAAAAGTGCATAATCAAAGTTCAATACTCTGTTCTTTACCATATAAGTCCACAGAAGTGAGTTGAAACTAGTCAATACTCATCCTCCCTGAAAACTATTTTACTGAAAATCTGGAGAATGATCAATTTCAATGATCAAATGGAAATTGGAATTTCAAAATGGAATTTTGAACATTCCATTAACTTTTCAAGCAGTTTAAGCTGTTTGTAAGAGTTCACAGAACTATGTTTCTGAACTATATTGGAATTTGGACTTCATGAGGCAGTGCACAAATTGGAATTTCAGAACAGATAGACAATTGAGATTTATATCATCTGCACAAGTTTCAAGTTGTAACAACAGGTTGTATTATTTAAATGTCTATAAACTATAATCAGCATTTTGTCAAACCAAAGACTTGAATGTCAAAGGTCCTGATAAGTGGACTCACTTTACAGATCAATATCTCTATGCTGAATGCCTTGCTATTATGGTCATAAAACACAATAAATACAATGAAAGAATGAAAAAAGACTTACCATTTGAGGTACCCCAAAAACAACAACATTTGTATACTGGGAAAAGCTAACCTATTAAAAAAAATATATATTACCATCATTGTGGACAATTAATATTTATAATATGAGTGGATACTGGGGGGAATGTTAGTAATAATAGTCTTCCCTTTATTCACACCCTTTTTCACAGCCAGGCCTCCTACACCAGGGACAAGGACAGGAAATGATACAGAAGCCACTATGCCAGCTTAACATAGCCAAGTATTCCCCAACACAGGGTAGCTTTGCACCAACTGAGTAGCACAAAACTGCTTCAATGTCACCAAGGCTCTGGCCCTAAGTTCCAGAATATTAATCAATTCAGAGAAGTTGCACAAGTTTACTCATTTTTACTGCAGTTCTTATCCCTAAGGAAAAGACTTATCATTTAACATCCTAACTTTGCCACCTGTCAATTAAGTCTTTAGCAATTTATCTAGAGTTAAAACTGACTAACCATTTCTATTCCAAGTCTGTGTTTTGAGTCCCTCACAACTTTCTGCAGTTTTTAATTATTGGGAAGGAATTATCTGGGTCAGTTCTCTGCCTTAAGGTGAATTTTTTTTAAAAACTCTCATTCAAAAATAGTTGATCTGGTTTTGAACATGGGGGGAGGGCAAAGATACACTTTTCCCATTCTATAAAATTCTTGCCATTCTTTTTCTTTATCACTCAATGGCTGAAATAGCAAGGGGTAGGTAAACTGAAATCTTGCAGACAATTAATTACTAAGAAGTGTTCGATAGAAAATTATTCTGATTCATCTGAATTATGAGGTTTTTGAAAAAAATCAAACCGTACTACTTTGCTTTAAAACAGCTCTGTTCAAAAATGGATTGAGTGCACGCATGCGCACATATTATATACACATATAAAATGAAAGATTGTGCATACATGTCATGTAGCACTATAAGGAAGCTGCATATGAACATGCACTTCTTATACAGTGCCCATTGAGGCCTGATCCTGCACTATTACAGAGAATAGCCTTGCCACTGATTTCAATGAATGCAGGATTAAGACCCGTCTAAGGCAGGACTTTGTAGCACCCAGCCTCATTCAGTAAGTACTTAAATGTGAGCAAAATACTCAATGAATCAGGGCTCCAAAAGAGCCCTTGCAAAGGGAGTATATCTGAGGACAAAAAAAACAGCAAAGCATCTAAGCTAGTGAGTAGTCATAGTTAGCATGTGCTTGTGTACTTTGCTGTATCAGGACTTGAAAGAGCACATTATGGGGGACAACATTCCAGTGGTGTCTAATAAAATAATTCCAGATTACGAAATTTTGTTCTTTCCTTTTCTTTACAAGAAATACCTGAGACTCCCATTATTTAAAAAAAAAAAATACTGCAATAAGAGAATGTTGAGGCTGCACAGTAGCATACTCAAGTCAGTAAATGCTAAAGTTGAACTTGCCAGTGGAACCATAACTCTTTTCCCTTGTGCACATGAATCAGTTACATAATACTACACTATTCTCAAATAATACAAAATAATCTAGTTAAAGTTGTAGAAACTACATATTTTTATACATTAGCATATTTAAAGTTGTAGAAAATATTATATGATATAGGCTATTATTTGAGAAACAGTATCATTATCTAATTAATATCTGCATCATAATGCATGAGCACATTAGCTTTGCATCTTTACCTTTGGTATTTCCTGACTTTTGAATGCCTATATGTATAACATTAACATTATTTTAGCATAGTTGTTTTTTTTAATAATTATATTATCCGCAGCGGTGTGTTTTCAAATTGATCACTTGTAATTCACCAGTGAAATTATTATTACATACACCTCTACCTCGATATAACGCTGTCCTCGGGAGCCAAAAAATCTTACAGCGTTATAGGTGAAACTGTGTTATATTGAATTTGCTTTGATCCACCGGAGTGCGCAGCCCCGCCCCCCCCCGCCCCCCCGGAGCACTGCTTTACCGCGTTATATCCGAATTCATGTTATATCGGGTCGCATTATATCGAGATAGCGGTGTACTTTGATTTCTATAGGGCTTTTTCACAAAACACATACCTTCCACAAATCTGAAATATAAAATTTGGCATTATGATGCATCCCTTCTCTCCAAGCACGATATCTGGAGTACCAGACTAGCCAGGGATTTAATTCATAACCAACAGCTTTGAATCCTTCTTTTGCAGCTGCTATCACCTACAAAAAGACAAAGTACTCTTCATTCAGGGCCAGAATAAACTACAGGAGGACACTATTTATGATAGAATTGTGCTTGCAGGAAACATAATAAAATTATACTATTCTCTTAACAGCAGAACCTCCCCCCCCCCAAAAAAAGAGTGCTATATGTCTTTATTAGTTGTGTTTATCCACCTTTGGCTGCTTGAATACTAAAGCCCCAATCTGCAAACAAACACTTACACACATGCTTAACTTGAGTATCATGAGAAGCCACATTGAAATCAATAGAACTACTCATGGTAGTGAAGTTAAGCACAGGAGTATTTGCTGGATCAGAGCATAAGGCCCCCATACTGCCATGACATATCCATATGCTCAATTTTAAGCATGCAAGTAGTTTCAGTGACTTACCTGTAAATTAAATGTACAATTGGCCAGGGGCATAGCAGTAAACACTATACACGTACATGCACTCACCTAAGATCAAAAATACAAAGTGACCTACCAATACGGAAAGTTCCACAGTGAACGTTTTTTGAATATATAATCTTTCTTTGACACAGGCAGTTATAACGTATTTTCCTAATTCATAGTATAGCACTCTGCAATGCCAGATGGATATGCAATTTTAAAAGTTAATTTTATCATAACTGCAAGCACACGCTAGCTGATGTTCAAACAGGTTGCTTTTTTTTTTTAAATAAATAAAATAGTTTAGACAATACATTTTCAAGATTTAAAATAGCCTGATAATTTAGCAAATGTCTTTCAATGAGTTAAATTCTCCTTGGTGTACTGATATGAGTAATCCCATTGAACTCAGTTGGGCAAACTAATCTAGTAAGGAAAATACGTTTTGTTCCCAAGTCTGCTGTATTTATTGATCTGTAGCATGAATCACTCTCACTCTCCATCTAATTTTTTAAATAAAGAAAATATACTGTAAATCTCACACATAAATAAAGCCGTGCATCCATGCCCTCATTTTTCAGAGGGGGATAATTAAAAACAATATAGATTAATCAGGGGAATATATGGTAACAAAATTAGCAACTTTCAAGATATGCAATATGTAGGATTTAAACTACTTGACAAGTATCTTTAAATAATAAAATGACTCAAATCATGTAAAAATAAAATTAAAAAATTCTGTATTAGAAACATATGGAAAAGTAGAAAAGAGTAAGAAAGTAAATATTTTGTTCCTGAATAAAACTAGTCAAATAGTTTATTCCACACATTTTGAAGTTTTCCATATCAATTAGTTAATGCAATTTTTTTCCATTATGCACTATAAAAAAAATTCACAAACATATTCAAATAACCTGACACTTTCATATTATTTGAAGAATACTATTTTCATTATTTGCCCAAAGGTATTCCTGAATAAGTGTCAAACATTCTGAAGCCTGTAATATATACTCTTAAAAACAGTCCAATTAATTTTGTCTGAATTTTTGTGGGACGGGGAGGAAAACTTAACACAGGCTACAGAACCTTCACAAATACCAGGAAAAAGGGGTGCATAATGGAAAATATCTACTATAGTAGCTCACTTCTTTAACACTGTTTGATGTACATGAATTTAGAGGAGCCAGAGTTTTATAACTTACAATACGTCCATCGCCACTACCTAGGTCAACCAGAGATCCACTTCTGTACTGTAACATTTTCAAAACATTTTCAATCTGAGTTGAAGTTGCAGGTACAAAAGGAAGGCAAATTTTTCTCAGTGCTGGAGTTATGAATGGAGTGGCAACAGCATACAGTACCACCAATGTCCCACCAACAATGCCAGTGACCAACAATCCCCAATTTCTTTTTCTTGAGCTGTCATTATCAAGATTCATATGCAAAATGTCTTGGGTATGGCTTTCTCCTTGAAGTACTTTTGACATCGACAAAGTGTACCTGAAGAAAGGGAAAAACATATGTAACATGACTCCTTTGAAATGCCAAGTGCATATCTATTTATTTCTACAGACAAAATCTTGCTGGTAAATAGTATACAATAATAGAATCACATACTAAACTTTAAGGCTTAAGCTACACTTTATATAAAGCTTACCTCCTTTTGAGCTGGGATGTACTCATAAATCCTATTAACAAAATATTAAATGGCCTTGGAGAAAATCATCAGAAAATAATTGAATTTTAAAATCTGTTCTTTCTACCATAATTGACTTTTTTGCTCACCGAGGGCCCTCATAAATGTATTGGAGAGCAAGGAATACATACTAAGAAGCACACAGCCTATTTTCATCCAGAAGACAGGGAAATTACATATTTACCTCCCATTAATGCAAATAGAAGTTAAGTACATAAATCCCACTTACACAGAAATGAAAACAACACCTCCACTCAAAAAAACCTGTTCTTGTGCATAATGATTGCAAAGTTTTTATTTTAAAGTATCGGTAGCGGTTTTCTCATCAAAATAGAACCGTTTTCAGTCATGAAAGGAGCAGGTTTTCTTCCACTTAGAACAGAGAAAAATAGGTAAAAAATCAAGTAGTTAAGAAAGTACAGTGCACAGCCTGCTAATAAACCTATGGTTCAATGTAAAGTGTACAACACATTCCTCATGTACTGTATTTAATATCCAATGCTATCCAAGCATTCTTTGGAATACTATGTTAGCACCCTGGTCCTTAAGGAACACAGATAAACAGTTGTACAGAAATAATGTAAGCCTGATTATTTTTCTTTCAACTCATTGTAATAGCATATTAACACTCCAGAAACAATATGCCTTTAAAATCTTAGAGGAAATCTGAATATTGTATTTTTTGTGTGACATAAATATAGTGCTCCTGAAAGGTGTTGACCTGACAACCCTGTCTTATAGTTTGCTATATAATATAGCAAAGTCAGTGAAAGTACAGGCTTCCCCACATTGTCCCACTGGTGTGCTTCCATCTTGACCAATTTCTTTGAGAACATCAAAACAGTTCATACAATGTTGCTAAACTTACATACACAGGAGAGCCCCCCATATCATAAGGCATTGTCCATACAAGTGTGACATTTACCACTCATGATCCAGTACCACATGGTGTTGAGAGCAAGCTGCTTTGTGCCAAAAGAGCTATGGCATGATAGAAGTTTGAGTCCTTCACAGAATCAGTGGCCAAGACTTCTAAAAATGAGTTCCCAAAGTGCCTAAGGTCTATTTTCAGACACCTAAGTAACTGTCCTAATTTTCAAAAGTGACGAGCAATTAACAGCTATTGTTGACTTAAAATAAGAACAGCCATACTGGGTCAGACCAAAGGTCCATCTAGCCCAGTATCCTGTCTTCCAACAGTGGCCAGTGCCAGGTGCCCCAGAGGGACTGAAAAGAACAGGTAATCATCAAGTGATCCATTCCCTGTCGCTCATTCCCAGCTTCTGGCAAACAGAGGCTAAGGACACCATCCCTGCCCATCCTGGCTAATAGCCATTGATGGACCTATTCTCCATGAATGTATCTAGTTCTTTCTTGAACCCTGTTAAAGTCTTGGCCTTCATAACATCCTCTGGCAACGAATTCCACAAGTTGACTGTGCGTTGTGTGAAGAAATACTTCCTTTTGTTTGTTTTAAATTGCTGCCTATTACTTTCATTTGGTAACCCCTAGTTCTTGTGTTATGAGAAGGAGTAAATAGCACTTCCTTATCTACTTTCTCCACACCAGTCATGATTTTACAGACCTCTATCATATCTCCCCTTAGTCGTCTCTTTTCCAAGCTGAAAAGTCCCAGTCTTCTTAATCTCTCCTCATATGGAAGTCGTTCCATACCCCTAATAATTTCTGTTGCCCTTTTCTGAACCTTTTCCAATTCCAATATATCTTTTTCCAAGATGGGGCGACCATATCTGCACACAGTATTCAGGATGTGGGCATACAATGGATTTATATAGAGGCAATATGATATTTTCTGTCTTATTATCTATCCCTTTCTTAATGATTTCCAACATTCTGTTAGCTTTTTTGACTGCAGCTGCACATTGAGTGGATGTTTTCAGAGAACTATCCACAATGACTTCAATGGAAATTAATGTAAAGTACTTTGAGATCCTCAGATGGAAGACCCTACAGAAGTGAAAAGCAGTGTTACTACAAACATGTTTTATAAACTTGACTGTAAAAATATTTCTCATTATGACCTGCTCAACAGTCTTCTGGCAATGCATTGAGAGATACCTGAGGATTGCAGAAGGGGCAAATTTAGTACCTATCTTTAAAAAGGGGGAGGGGGGAGAAGAGAACTTAGTGATTGACTGACGGGGCAGCCTAACTTTGATACCTGGAAAGATACAGGAACAAATTGCTAAACAATCCATTTGTAAGCACCTAGAACAGTGGTTTTCAAACTGCGGGTCGCGACCCAGTACTGGGTCACGGAGGTAAGGCACTGGGTCACGGCGCTCTGGTCAGCACCACCAACCAGGCCGTTAAAAGTCCCATTGGTGGTGCTGCCCAGCTAAGCCAGGCTAGTGCCTACCTGTTCTGACATCGTGCTGCGCCCTGGAAGCAGCCAGCAGCATGTCTGGCTCCTAGCAGGAGGGCCACGGGGCTCCGCACACTGTCCCCGCCCCAAGCACTGGCTCCGCACTCCCACAGGCCAGGAACCAGCCAATGGGAGTTGGAGGGGGGGGAAGCGGCGGCGCAGCACCTGTGGGCCAGAGTCACGCTCCTCCGCCTACCAGCCAGACCTGCTGCTGGCTGCTTCGGGGGCACAGCACGGTCCGCAATGCCAGGACAGGCAGGAAGCCTGCTTTAACACCTCTGCTGCGCCGCTGACTGGGAGCTGCCCGAGGTAATCACACGCCTTAATCGACTGCCCCAGCCCAGCCCCCCCAAACCCGGAGTCCCTTCCTGCATACCAAACCCCTCATCACCAGCTCCATCCCAGAGCCTGCACCCCCAGCCCAGAGCCGTGATCCCCTCCCACACCCCAACCCTCTGCCCCAGCCCAGAGCCCCCCCCACACCCTGAACCCCTCGTTCCTGGCCCCACCCTGCAGCCCTCACCCCTGAACCCCATCTTTCTGCCCCAGCCCTGAGCCCCTCCCACACCTCAAACCCTTCATCCTCAGCTCTGTAGGGTCACGGGCATCAACAATTTTCTTCAACTGGCCCAAACCAGCCTAATTTCTTTCTTTGACTGGGTTACTGGCCTAGTGGATGGGGGGGAGGGAGGGGGGAAAAGAGAGAAGAACAGTAGGTATGATGTATCTTGATTTTAGAAAAGCTTTAGGCAGTCTCATGAGACACTCATGAGCAAACTGAAGAAATACAGTCTAGATGAAATTATGAAGTAGGTGTGCAACTGACTGAAAAATAATACTGAGTTATCAATGCACAGATACAAAATGAGAAATAACTAGATAGACAGAAGTACTGCTGAAAAGAATCTGAGATTTATAGTGGATAACAAATGAGAGTCAACAATGTGATGCAAATGCAAAAAAGGCTAATATTTTGGAGTGTATTAAGAGGAGCTTTTTAGGGGAGGGACAGCTCAGTGGTTTGAGCATTGGCCTGCTAAACCCAGGGTTCTGAGTTCAATCCTTGAGGGGGCCACTTAGGGATCTGGGGCAAAATCAGTACTTGGTCCTGCTAGTGAAGGCAGGGGGCTGGACTCGATGATCTTTCAGTTCTAGGAGATAGGATATCTCCATTAATTTAATTTTAATTTAAGACCTGGGAAGTAATTGTCACACTGTATTCAGCACTGGCGAGGCCTCATCTGAAGTATTCTATCCAGTTCTGGGCACCACACTTTAGAATACATGTGGATAAATTGGAGAGAGTCCAAAGGAGAGAAACAAAAATAATAAAAGGTTTCAAAAACCTGACCTAGAAGGAACGGTTAAAAAAACAGGCATGTAAAGTCTTAAGAAAAGACGACGGGGGACAGGGGGGTGGAGAATCTGATAACAGTCATCAAATATGTTAAAGGCTATCATAAAGAGGATGGTGATCAATTTTTCTCAAAGTCCACCAAGGATCAGACAAGAGGAAATGGGCTTAATCTGCAAGAAGAAAGATTTAGTTAGATACACCTCTACCCCGATACAACGCTGTCCTCAGGAGCCAAAAAATCTTACCACGTTATAGGTGAAACTGTGTTCTATCAAACTTGCTTTGATCCGCCGGAGTGTGCAGCCCCGCCCCCCCGTAGCGCTGCTTTACCGCGTTATATCCGAATTCGTGTTATATCGGGTCACGTTATATCTGGGTAGAGGTGTATTAGGAAAAACTTTTTAACTATAAGGGTAGTTAAGTTCTGGAATAGGCTTTCAAGGAATGTTATGGAATTCCCATTAGTGGAGGTTTTTAAGAAGAGGTGAGACAAACACCTACGAGGGACGGTCTAGGTCAGTGGTTCTCAAACTTTTTTTTCCGCAGTCCACTTGAAAATTGCCAAGGATCTTGGCAGACCACTTAATGAGCTTTCCAAATGTTGTTTGTATTGTTAGCTAATTATTGTAAAGCGCTTTGGATAAACGCACTATATAAAAAAACCTCAATAATAATTAATGTTTTTTGTTCTACAAATAAAAGCACACAACTCATCTTTTAATATCAGTAGTCTTACCTTTCTAATGCGATGGATATGCCCTCTCTCCCCTGCCACGGCAGCCCCCGAGCTGGGGCTGGGAAGGGGGGTGGGGGTCTCTCCCTCTCTGCCTCACCGCAACAGCCCCCGAGCTGGGGCTGGGAAGGAGGCGGGTCACTCACCCACAACAGCCACAGAGCTGAGGCTGGGAAGGAGGGCCATCTCTCCCTGGCAGCCACAGCCCTGGAGCTGGGGAAACTCACCTCTTTCTCTGGCCGCCACAGCCCTGCACATCCCCAATTCCCCCCATCCCTCTTCTCACCCTATTGTCCCCTCCCACCTACCCCCATTCCTCCCAAGGCCACCACCTCAGCTTAAATATGCATCTTTCTCCAGGGTCCAGGCACCTAATTAGTGGAGTCATGCCTGCGTGGCTCCACTAATTAGGTGGGTGGCCCTTCATTCTCTTGTGTGCAGCTGCCCAGGTGCGCACCTTAGAAGGAACTGTCCACAGACCACTTGAATCGAGCTCACGGACCACTGGTGGTCCATGGACAACAGTTTGAGAATCTCTGGTCTAGGTTTACTTGGTCCTGCCTCAGTGTAGGTAGCTGGACTTAATGACCTCTCAAGGTCCCTTCTAGCCCTACATTTCTATGATTCTATAATTTAAAACTACAGTAGAACCTCAGAGTAACCAACAACAGAGTTACGAACTGACCACTCAACCACACACAAAGAAGAACAGGAGTACTTGTGGCACCTTAGAGACTAACAAATTTATTAGAGCATAAGCTTTCGTGGACTACAGCCCACTTCTTCGGATGCATATAGAATGGAACATATATTGAGGAGATATATATACACACATACAGAGAGCATAAACAGGTGGGGGTTGTCTTACCAACGCTGAGAGGCCAATTAGTCAAGAGAAAAAAAACTTTTGAAGTGATAATCAAGCTAGCCTAGTACAGACAGTTTGATAAGAAGTGTGAGAATACTTACAAGGGGAGATAGATTCAATGTTTGTAATGGCTCAGCCATTCCCAGTCCTTATTCAAACCGGAGTTGATTGTGTCTAGTTTGCATATCAATTCTAGCTCAGCAGTCTCTCTTTGGAGTCTGTTTTTGAAGTTTTTCTGTTGTAATATAGCCACCCGCAGGTCTGTCACTGAATAACCAGACAGGTTAAAGTGTTCTCCCACTGGTTTTTGAGTATTTTGATTCCTGATGTCAGATTTGTGTCCATTAATTCTTTTGCGTAGAGACTGTCCAGTTTGGCCAATGTACATGGCAGAGGGGCATTGCTGGCACATGATGGCATATATCACATTGGTAGATGTGCAGGTGAACGAGCCCCTGATGGTATGGCTGATGTGATTAGGTCCTATGATGATGTCATTCAGTGACAGACCTGCGGGTGGCTATATTACAACAGAAAAACTTCAAAAACAGACTCCAAAGAGAGACTGCTGAGCTAGAATTGATATGCAAACTAGACACAATCAACTCCGGTTTGAATAAGGACTGGGAATGGCTGAGTCATTACAAACATTGAATCTATCTCCCCTTGTAAGTATTCTCACACTTCTTATCATACTGTCTGTACTGGGCTAGCTTGATTATCACTTCAAAAGTTTTTTTTCTCTTAATTAATTGGCCTCTCAGAGTTGGTAAGACAACCCCCACCTGTTTATGCTCTCTGTATGTGTGTATATATATCTCCTCAATATATGTTCCATTCTATATGCATCCGAAGAAGTCAGCTGTAGTCCACGAAAGCTTATGCTCTAATAAATTTGTTAGTCTCTAAGGTGCCACAAGTACTCCTGTTCTTCTTTTTGCGGATACAGACTAACATGGCTGCTACTCTGAAATCAACCACACACCTCATTTGGAACTGGGAGCACAACATCAGGCAGTAGCAGAGACAAAACTTAAATAGAAAAGAGTAAATACAGTACAGTATTGTATTAAACTACTAACAAAACAAAAAAAAGCATAGTAAAGTTTCAAAGCTGTATTAAGTCAATGTTCAGTTGGAAACTTTTGAAAGACCTACCATAATGTTTTGTTCAGAGTTACGAAAATTTCAGAGTTATGAACAACCTCCATTCCCATAACTCGGAGGCCCTAGTGTATTTTTAGAGAGAAATTATGTGTGGATAATCATTTTGCAGGATTCAAGGTTTTAAAAAATATGCGAAGACAGTTATTTAAAGCTATAGATCTCAATACTAAAACCCCAACCAATTCAAAATCCTATCGCAAACAAAAGTATGACGTAATCCCACAAATACAAATGAGCTGGCTTTGCCCAAGTTTAGAACCCTACCTATACCTAACAAAGCATATATTAAAGATATGGAGGCTCAAGTGATCTTCAGTAGGATACTACCTGTCCCTAGAGGAGAAGAGAGAAGGCAAGACAATTAGGATTAGGGCCCTACCAAATCCATGGCCATTTTGGTCAATTTCATGGCCAGAGGGTTTTAAAATTGGTCAATTTCACCATTTCAGATGTTTACATCTGAAATTTCACCTTGTTGTAACTGCGGGGGTCCCCTCCCAGAAGGGGGATCATGGGGAGGGTCCCAAAGCTGTTGTGGGATGGTCACAGGATTGACACCGTCACTTCTGTGCTGCCTTCAGAGATGGGCTCTGAAGGCAACAGCTGCAGTTTCCTGCAGCTGGAGGAGGCTCCAGAGTTGGAAGTGGGTCCCATCTCCCCAATGCTGCTGGGAGCGCCCCAGCCAGGGGCTCCTAGCTGCTAGTCACAGCCAGTGGCGGACTAACACAGGGGCTCCAGGCAGTACCCCGAGCCCTGGCAAGAACCGCACGGGGGGTGGGCGGAAGCCCCAAACCCAGGTGCCCCGAACCCCGATAGGAGCCGTGTACCACCCTCACTTCTGTGCTGTCTGTGGAGGAGGGTCTGGGGAAGGATTTTGGGGAGATCAGATTTCACGGGGTAAGACTTTTTTCACAGTCCGTAACACGTTTTTCATAGCCATGAAATTGGTAGGGCCCTAATTATGATGATCAACAGATGGCTCTGGCAACGGTGCTATAAGGAGGGGTTTTAGATGTCTGGACATTCACTGGCCGATGGGTGTTCTCATGGGATGGACTCCACCTAAGTAGGGAAGGAAATAGACTTCTGAGATAGAGGGAAGTAGTTAGGGAAGTGGGCTGGACGGAAGAACTCAAGGATCTGAATGTGTACGAGGTTTGGAATTACTTTAAGTCAAACATGTTTTTGCAAAATGGTAGATTATGCCAGACCAACCTGAATTCTTTCTTTAAAAATATAACTGATTTTTTAAACAAAGGAAATGCAGTAGATCTAGTCTACCTGGATTTTAGTAAAGCATTTGATATGGTTCCACATGGAAAATTATTAAACTGGAGAAGATGGAGATTAATATGAGAACTGAAAGGTGGGTAAGGAACTGGTTAAAGGGAAGACTACAACAGATCATATTAAAAGGGGAACTAAGGCTGGAGAGAGGTTACCAGAGGAGTTCCTCAGGGATCAGTCATGGGACAAATCTTATTTAACCTTTTCATTAATGACCTTGGCACAAAAAGTGAGTGTGCCCTAATAAAATCTGCAGATGACACAAAGTTGGAAATAATGCCAATAGTTCATTCTGGCCTTAAAATCTGAGTCTATGAGTACTGGTTATAAGAGATGGAAGACTCCGTTACCACTGCAACGACATAGAAGACTGGCTATCAGCTACTATTAACTAGTTACTTGCAACTTTCTTTACTTCACCTGAAGTAAAGTATACAGACCACTATAATTTTTAAAAGTGACTTTTAGGTTTTCAGACTTTAAATAATCAATTTTAATCTTGTTTTACATTTGTACTTTTATATGTTCCCAAAGAAAGGTTGATTTGCACTGAAACATAGATTCATAGAAATTTAGGGGCTGAAAGGGACCTTGAGAGATCATTCATCCCAGCCCCCTGTGCTTAGGTAGTAAACCTAGAACATCCCTGAGAGGTGTTTGTCCCACCACTCCTTCAAAACCTCCACTAAAGGGGAATTCCACAACCACGCTTCGAAGCTTATTCCAAAGCCTAACTACCCATATAGTTATAAAGCTTTTCCTAAACATCTACCCTGAATCTCTCTTGCTGCATGTTAAGCCCATAACTTTTTGTCCTTTCAGTGGACATGCAGAATTGAGCACCATCCTCTTTATACATGCCTGAAATTGGATGACTGTTATACCAGGTCCACCCTCAGTCTTCTTTTCTCAAGACTAAACAACCCCAGTTTTTTAAAATCTTTCCTCAGAGGTCAGGTTTTTAGAACCTTTTATTATTTTTGTTGCTCTTCTCTGTACTCTATCCAATTTATCCACATCTGTCCTAAAGAGTGGCACCCAGAATTGGACATAGTACTCCAGCTCAGGCCTCACCAGTGCCAAGCAGAGCAAAATAATTATCTTCTAATGTTTGATATATGACACTCCTGTTAATATGCTCCAGAATATTAGCTTTTGGCAACTGCATCGCACTGCTGACTCATTCAATTTGTGATACACTATAACTTCCAGATCCTTTTCAACACTACTACCACCTAGTTAGTTATTCTCCATTTTGTAGTTGTTAATTTGACTTTTTCTTCCTAGTGTAGTACTTTGCACTTGTCTTTATTTAAGTTTATTTTGTTAATTTCAGACCAATTCTCTAATTCAGGGGTGAGTAAACTGCGGCCCGCGCACCGCACCAGCAGCTTGGCCCTGCTCCAGTGCTCCGGCCGGGGTGCTGGGTCAGGGGCTGCACCACAAGGCCAGGACAAGTAATTGGCTAAAACTGCAGCAAAGGTATATGCTACACATCAGAAAAAAAAGAACTTCCTGTCAGGGTGGTTAAGCACTGCCACAAATTGCCTAGGGAGGTTATGGAATCTGTCACCGGAGGATTTTAAGAGCAGGTTAGACAAGCACGTGTCAGGGTCAATCTCTAGAGAATACCTGATCCTGCCTCAGTGCAGGGGACAGGACTGGATGATCTACCAAGGTCCCTTCCACTCCTGCATCTCTCTGGCAGCAGCTTCCACTCTTAGGACTTCAATAGACGTAATAAAGGAAAAAACCAGCAGCCGGAGCCGGCTTCCCCCAGCGCGTCGCTTCAGGAGCCGGCGGGCGGGTCCCTGTCCAACGCGCTGGGGCGGCTCCACCATTAGCCAAGCCGGAGCAGACAGGCCCTGCCCCCTGGAGGGTGGGGGTGGCACGGACCCGGTCGCGCACGGAGGGGTCCTCTCCGCTCACCGAGGGGCCGATATCGCGAGACTCGGAGAAGCAGGCGGGAACTCCGACCGACGCAGGCGCAGCGGAGTGGACGATACCACCTGAAACGCGGGGGGAAGGCTCACCTGTGGCAGGCTGTATAGCACCGTAGAGTAACGTACCCTGCCTCGCAGCGCGCATTTGCGCCGTCTTATTTTGCTCTCACTGTAGTGCCGTGGATCCTGCGAATATGATGTGTGTCGGAGTTCCGCTTCGTGGTCTCTCCCACTCTGACTTGCGCCCTTCTTTCCGTCAGACGCTTCCAGAAGGGCTCAGTGAGGGCGCCACATTGGTCCCAGCTAAGAAATCCTTCCGGTAGTATCCCGCTGCGCATGCGCGGCGCAGAATCGTCCGCCCGTTGCGTTGCGTTGGGCGTGGTGGGCAGCAGCTGCGGCTCGTGCTCCATCGGTTGGTGTCAGAGCGGCTCCGGTGCGGCAGGACCATGTCGGCGATGGGGACTCTCGCGTTCGATGAGTACGGGCGGCCCTTCCTGATCCTCAAGGACCAGGATCGCAAGAGCCGCCTCATGGGGCTGGAGGCGCTCAAGGTATTTGCGCATGCGCCACCGGGGAACCGCCGGTTGCTAGCCCCGGATCCATGTGCTTCCCCCTCCCCCACTCCGGGATCAGAGCCCCCCCCCGTGGTTGGTCGCTGGTCCCCTTCCCACTATCGGGTCTGGAGCCGCCGGACCTTTGTGTGTCTCTCCTTCCCCCCCCTCGGGCTTCGGGCCGGACCGGTGCGGGGAGCTCGTAGCCCCGCCCCCATCGGGGCCGCCCGGCCGCGGCCCGAGCGAAGGCTTTGATGACGCGCATTAGGCCGCCCATTGCTGCCGCCTCGTGCGGATGGAGCGGGGCGGCTGGATCCGCCGGGCGCCTTGTTAAGCGCCAGGGCCGGGCCCTGTGGTCGCTCAGTCACTAAACTAACGCGATAAGCTGCAGCTTCCCCTTGAATCTCACACACACTGAACCAGGCTCTTCTCCCCCAGTGCAAACGTGCGCTAGTCTCTCCTGTCTTAACCCCCCGCCCCGGTTCTGGTCCCATCCTATAACCGCATTGAGCACATTGTTTATAGCCAGATTTCTCCAGTCCGCGTTTCTCTGCCTTGCAGTCAACTGAAACCACTCAAAGTCTCTAATGATCTCAAAGCTCACAACCTGGATGTTATCCTCTTTTTCTTTGACTTGCCAGCTGCTTTTGATACAGTTAACCACACTCCTCCTCTTGAAATGTTGTTCTCTCTTGGCGTCCTTCTCTTGGTTTTTCTCCTACCTCTCTAAGGCCTGGTCCACACTAACCCCCCACTTCGAACTAAGGTACGCAAATTCACGTAGCTGAATTTGAAGTACCTTAGTTCGAACTTACCGCGGGTCCAGACGCGGCAGGCAGGCTCCCCCGTCGATGCCACGTACTCCTCTCGCCGAGCTGGAGTACCGGCGTCGACGGGGAGCACTTCCGGGATCGATCCCAGAAGATCGATTGCTTACCGCCGGACCCGGAGGTAAGTGTAGACCTACCCTAAGGGTATGTCTTCACTACCCGCCATATCAGCAGGTAGCAATCGATTTATCCGGGATCGATATATCGTGTCTCGTTAAGACGCGATATATCGATCCCCGAACGTGCTCACCGTCGACTCCGGAACTCCACCAGAGCGAGCGGCGGTAGCGCAGTCGGCGGGGAGCCGCGGCCATCGATCCCGCGCCGTCTGGACCCCAGGTAATTCGATCCAAGATACTTCGACTTCAGCTACGCTATTGGCGTAGCTGAAGTTGCGTATCTTGGATCCGATTTCCCCCCCCCCCCCTCCTCGGGTGAAGTTTTCAGTGTAGGCCAGTCCTTAGGTTATAAATGATTGGGAGGGACCATATTTTTTTGTTCCATGTCTGTACAGTATATAGCTCAATGGGGTCCTGGTCCATTATTAGGGCTCCTAAGCACTTTGGTAACACAGATAATAAATGTGATGCATTTCAATCATTCACCTGTTGCATCGCTGAAGGAGACGAAAAGTATAATTTTAAAACCCCAGGATTTTTGGTGTTTTGCACCTGCAGAGGTGGGATGCTCTTGTTGTATCCTAGTGGATAATCTGAGCAGTTTGATGATACTAGCAATGCAATGGTCTATTGAAAGGCCAATGGATTTTTAAAGAATGACTGAATGTTCACAATCCTTTATCTGGCGAAAGTCCTTCCCAGATCATCACTTTTGTATGAGAGAGTTAGAGTTCACAAGCAAAGGTCCAGCCCACTAGTCAGATGCCTTTAATGCATCTGCTAGCGGGAGGGCAGAAGGAAAAGTTTGGGTATGTCAGTTATATATCAACACACACAATTTGCCTGATCTAGGTATAATTTATAATATAAATTTTCACTTAGTTTAACTTCTGCTTGAAATAGAGCAAAATCATCTGTAGCAGTTGTTTTGTATCTCACCCCCACTTAATGCTGTTTTAAAAAGAGGGGGGGGGCTACTATGCCTTTTTTATTGCCAGTGCAAGTTTTATTCATATTTGCACCGATGGAAAACATTGGAGATGGGAATTGCTACTGGCTAAGCGAGGCCCTGAAAATACTGACACCTAATTTTCTCTGACACATAAGTGTACCTGCAAACAACTAAAATCAAAGGACTTTCTTTTTCACTATTTATTTGCATAGCGTTACTAACAAAGCATTGTATTTTTAAGGATGTCATAATGATTGAATTTATGTTTGCATTTTTGTTTCATAGTCTCATATAATGGCAGCAAAGGCTGTGGCAAATACACTGAGAACATCACTGGGGCCCAATGGTAAGTATGAGAATGTAAGTTTAAACATTTTTTTTTTTTTGGTAAGGTTTCTTTGATTATTTATAACTTGTATACTTTTTGAACACTTGTTTTAGGTCTTGATAAAATGATGGTGGACAAGGATGGTGAGGTGACTGTCACGAATGATGGGGCCACCATTCTGAGTATGATGGATGTGGATCATCAGATAGCTAAACTTATGGTAGAGTTGTCTAAATCGCAGGATGATGAGATTGGGGATGGAACTACAGGGGTTGTTGGTAAGAGACATTTCAAACCTATCACCTTTGAAATCAGGTTATTTAAAGAGTTATTTAAATAAACAATTAGCATCTCAAACAAACCTAGTAGAGTAGCTAGCATTTTAATTCTCTTGCAGCTCCTGTATTGCGGGCTCTCTAGCAGAAGGATAGGGGAAAGGGGCTGTTTGTTTTTGTTTTTAAAAGGGTAGGCTTAATTTGCAGGCAGTATTGACACTCCATCCCTTGTATTAAATGCATCCATGTATTTATTTTTTCACATATCTTAAATAGTTTTCTTCCAATTCCATCTTCACTCCTTAAGAAAAAGCAATAATTGGGTAGTTTCCTCACTAAGATTGGTCAACAGCTGTTGATGAATTTTAGAAACTTGTGTCTGGCATAGTGTAAGCCTGCAAGGGCAGGTCTGTTACACACACTTTCGGTGCTCTAACAACGTATTGCAAGATTAAAATAACTTAGTAAATTGATGGAGGAAAGTAATTCTTGGTTTTTTTGTTTTGTAGTTCTGGCTGGTGCATTATTGGAACAGGCTGAGCAGTTGTTAGATCGCGGTATTCACCCTATGAGAATAGCAGATGGTTATGAGCAGGCTGCACGCATTGCCATTGAGAATCTAGACAAAATCAGCGACAGTTTTCCAGTCGATCCACAGAACATTGAACCTCTCATCCAGACTGCAAAGACAACTCTAGGTTCTAAAGTGTAAGTTTATACTGGGAAAACCTAACTAATAAAGTTTCATATTTGAAAGCATTTTTGGGAAAAATCATTGACAGTTGTTTGGCTTTTTTAGCTGGAATATAAAATTCGTTACATTCCTCAATGAAATTTTTCCTTACAGTTAAACGTCACTTTTTATTTTTATTTGGGCATAAGCTTTTTACCCACGAAAGCTTATGCCCAAATAAATCTGTTTAGTCTTTAAGGTGCCACCGGCCTCCTTTGTTGTTTTTGTGGATACAGACTAACACGGCTACCCACGATTCTTTTTATTACCAGTTAATTTCTCTACTGTAACTCCCTGATGCAGCAGGTTTAGGAGGAGACATTAGTAAGCCATTCTCTTTACACGTTTGATGAGATGTGACAAGCAGCTGCAACAGAAATTCCTCTATGCTATCTGTCTAATTCCCTTCTTTTCCACTTCCATGCTTCCTAACTTCCCTTTATATATTTCTGTGTGGTTATTTCCCCTCACTTTTAAAAGATGATAGTTTGCTTAAAGAAAAGATGACACTAGATGGATTTCACATGTGACAAATAGCTAATATTATTATAGCCTTATCTGCTACCTTTATTTCTATTAAGAGTAGTGACAGAGCAGATTATTTTTTTGGCTATAGTAAAATGGTATTTAGATAGTTAATTTGATACTCATCATGGGTTAATTAATGAAATGTGGCTCTTTAATTTGCCGGGATAGTGATTTGATGGCATAATATGGTTTTCTGCTGACAAATGCAGATCAGCCCAAAGTGGTGCATGCATTTTAGGTGAGAGTCTCACAATCTTTTCAGGTTTGCAGCCCCTTCTTTGAAGTCAAAGGTTTTCACTACCTCCTTTCATTTAATTTATATCAGTGATGATGATAATAAGCCTATATAATTTGTGTGTATATTGAGAGGCCGACAAAGAATATTTAACCTTGAAAGGTTATGGGGAGAGGAGAGAGATACACCTCTACCTCGATATAACGCTGTCCTCGGGAGCCAAAAAATCTTACCGCGTTATAGGTGAAACCGCGTTATATCGAACTTGCTTTGATCCACCGGAGTGCGCAGCCCCGCCCGCCCAGAGCACTGCTTTACCGCGGTATATCCGATTTCGTGTTATATCGGGTGGCGTTATTTCGAGGTAGAGGTGTATGTCCTTTGCTTTAGACTGTTAATAAATGTTCGTGGCCCCTTGATTGATGTTCATGACCCACTAGTTAAGAAACACAGTGTAGGGTAACCCAACATGATGCA